CTTCCTTCTCTCTGTAAAATATCAATAAAAAATAAAAATAAAAAAAGAGTATGAGATGCAGTTACAGAGGTGGGCACATTTTGAGTCCCTATGATTGTTTTCTAAAGGATAGCTGAAAAATTGATAGCATTTAAATTGAATATGTCATCTAGATTTTGGATTCAATGGATGAAGAACTATGATGAATCATGCTGTGTTTTACAGAAGATGACTGAAGAAAAAACAGATGTACTTCTCAAGTGGGTAAAACAAACAAAAATAAAAATAAAAATAAAAAGTATGCCAATTAATACAGTAGAGACAGAAGGCCTAAAGTAACATTAAAAATGTAGAAGTTCAAAGAAATTTGTGACAAGCCTAGAAGTCAGAAGCTGCACAAGTCTTAATTTATTTTTGCCAGTAATATAAAGTGTATTGATTTCCATAATTTATTACAAATGTTAAAAAAATTAATACTGGAAATGCTTTGGGTATATTCACTTTGTAGGTTTTTCCTCCTTAATCTGCGAATCTGTAACATTTGTTGGGGGGTGTAATATATTCAAAAACAAGACACATTCAAAGTTCTATGAGTATGAAGCCCAGAGAAGTTTTAGGCACCTATATCAAGTCTGAGGCAATAGAGATTGAGTTAAGGGTGCAGATTGGGAAGAAAGAGTTAGAAGAGAGTTGGACAACACCAGCTAATTTCTAGTAGTACACATTGCTCAAAATATATATTAGGCCTTAAATCCCCATAGGAACACACCGTGGAATGATTGACAACCTCTCACCAATATTAAATGTTACATATATATATCTCATGCCTAATTAAAGTCCTTGGGAGTAGGGACAATGATTTTCATTTTGTTGTTGTTCTTCGGTAATTTCCTATGTGTCCAGTATAAACTCAGTAGAGATTGGGTTGGGCTCAAGAATCTGTGCACATATAACTTAAAGTTTTAGAGAAGGCATGTAGCTGCACCCAAGACTGAGAATTACTGCCCAAGTACTTCAGCTATTTTTTATCACTCAATAATTACCAACAGCCTTATAAAAATATACTGCGGTCTCATATAAATCTTCTGAGAGTATATTAATTTCCTTTGCAAACAAGTTATGTAGAGAAGCCAACAAATATAGCTTGTTCTGCTTAGAAATCATTTTATTATTAGTATTATTATTAATAAATATTATTTATTGTGTGTCTTGAATGTGCCAGGCAGAGTGATTTAAAAAAAATTATAGCAAGTGCTCACAAAAATATTACAAACAGAATTTCATTTTCCATATTTAAAAGTTAAAAATACAAGCATAGAAGGCTCAATAACCCATCCAAGAGCACACAGCAAGTGAATTAATTGGTTTAAATAACTTTCCATCTTTTGTAAAATTGGGTTAACATGGGGATTTTATTTTTCTGGGGATGGGTTAATCATGGGTGTCAAGAAAAGCAAGCCAGCTTCTACTTACTTTCCCATGACTTATTAGATCAAATGCAGCCAACCACACTCCTTTCAAACTCAGTTTTTTACCTTAATTTCCAGTATTTCATTCTGAACCTTCTTATGAATATAGTGATTTCTGAGAAATTGCTTTTTATTCTGTGACTTAAAGTAAACTAAAGATCTGTAATCCCTTATTCTAGCTTCAATGTTTCTCTACTCCTATGTTCTCCATCTGAGGACACTGCCCCCTCTTCTTGACAATCCAGTGAGTCATCCTTAAATCTTGATTCCCCATCCTAAATGCCAATAGCCACCCTATCCTGTAATTCTCTTTGATATGCTTCCATGTCTTCATTGCAATCACCTCTGCCAAGTTCAAGTTGTTAATGACAGATTCCTAAACTTTTGAAATATTTTCTAACTACTCTTCCTCCTTCCTGCATCCTAGTATCAACCTGTGCCTTAGCCATTCTTCATCATTATCTTTGAAAATACAGATTTAATTACTGAAAGCTAGAGCTGATTCTTTTTACCAGTAAGATCATATCCCCACTCCAAGGTTCTCTTACAATGTATTCCCAAGTATATATTTTCCAGTTACTCAGTTCACAGATCAATAATATTAATAAAAGCAGCTTACATTTGTTCAGATTTAATTGCGAAGTCTGAGATCTATGAAACAATAATTGATAAGCTGGGCTTTATTAAAATTAAAAACTTCTGATCTAGGAAAGATAGTTCAAGAGAAGGAGAAGACAGGTCAAAGATTGAAAGAAAACTACACATGGCTCATATGTGTTAAAAATTGTTATCTAAATGCACAAAGAGTTCTAGAAACTCACCATTAAGAATATTAAAAACTCGATTAAAAATGGGCAATAGAACAAGAAATACACCTAACTAAAGAAGATATCCAGATATCCAGCAAGCATTTGAAACACATTCAATATCATGTATCATCTGGGAATAGCAAATTAAGACAATGAGACATCACCACACACTTATCTGAATGGCCCAAATCCAAAACACTAACAACAATAAGTGGCAGTGAGGATAGGAACAATAGAAACTCACCCATTGCGAGGGGAATGCAAAATTGCATTGGAGGACAGTGCGACAGTTTCTTATAAAGCTAAACTATTACCATGTGATCCAGCAATTGTGCTCCTTGGTACATAGTGAACTGAAAACTTATGTCCACACAAAAACCTGCACAAGTATTTTAATAGCTTCTCTGTTCATAACTGTCAAAACTTGAAAGCAACCACGATGTCCTTCAGTAGGTGAATGGATAAATAAAATGCGCTGCATCCAGACAATAGGATATTATTCAGTGCTCAAAAGGAAGGAGCTATCATGCCAAGCAAAGATATGGATGTAATTTAAAATACATATTACAGTGAGAGAAGCCAATATGAAAAGATTACATTTTGTATGATTCCAACTATATGACGCACTGGAAATGGCAATCTATGGAAATGAAAAAAGACTTGTGGTTTCCAGAGGTTATAGAAAAGAGACGCTGAGCACTGAGAAGAGCAGGGGAATATCTGTGTGGTATTACAGGCCATTATACACTTGTCAAAACCCACAGGATGTACAACACCAAGAATAAACCTTAATGTAAACTATAGGCCTTGGGTGATAATGACATGTCGATGTCAGTTCATCAATTGTAACAAATACACTGCTCTGGTGGGGGAGTGTCCATAGTGGAAGTTGGTGCATGTGTGTAGAGAACTTTGCGGGACAGGGGAATATGGGAATTCCATATACTTGCTCCTCTAATTTCTGTGACTTTAAAACTGTTCTAAAACCTAAAATTTGGTGATTTAAAAATTAATAATTAAAACATCCAGGCTAACTTAAGCTGTTCCTCAATTATAGATTAATTAGAAATTAAAAGTAAAGTATTTATAGAGTTCTTCTCTGGACATAATGAGTGGACTACAATAGATGTAGGAGATTAAGAAAAGAACAAACTCCTTTTGCCCCATTTATATTGTTATTAAGTTAGCCCTAGCTAGTTAGGTTCAGGTCTGCCTGGGGACTGAAGAACCTCGGGGTCAATTCCACTCAAGGGCAGGGAGCTAGGTTTCCGACTCCAAGCCATGTGGGCAGGCATGCGGGACATAAGCAATTGATATGCTTTTCTCTCATCCATTGGTGTTTCTCTCTGTCTCTCCCTCTCTCTTCCACTTTCTCTAAAAAATTCAATGGGAAAAAAATATCTTCCAGTGAGGATTAAAAAACAATCCTATATAATAAAAGACTAATATGCTAAATGTGCAGTGATCCATTCAACCAATCCAAGTGTAATATGCTAATGATATGCTAAAGCCACTCACATACACGCTATGAAGGGCACTGACCACCAGGGGGAAGATGCTCCAACTGGTAGGTGAGCTTGCTGCTGGGGTCCCGCTGATCAGGACTGAGTGAGATAGGCCAGACATGCCCCGGAGCCCTCTCTGGCTGGCCAACCACCTGTCACTCCAGGCCCCAATTGGGCACCAGCGGGGTCCCTCGGCCAGGTTTGTGCCCTCTTGCGATCTGGAACCCCTCAGGGAATATTGGAGTGCCTGTTTCAGCCTTATCCCACAGGCCAGGTGAAGGGACCCCACTGGTGCATGAATTAGTGCACTCGGCCTCTAGTAAGTAAATAAATAATATTGTTATTAAATTTATTTAAATAATGCAGCTTTAAAAATTGCTTCTTGAGGGATCACATGCATAAAATTTGGCAATAGTCCCTTGGAAAGAATTGGGTTATTAATCTGCCTTATAGACTTTAAAACCCTTAGGCAGTCATCAGACCAGCCTTGCATATATGTCCCTACCCTTTCCTAAAAGTGTTCTTCAGACCCACTTCCAAAATAAGTATTTCCTGCGTGGATGTAATTTTAAATGTTTGAAAACTCTGTCTTATTTATTTAATTTTCCCCAAAAGACTCCTGACAGAACAAAAGAAGTCAACCTGAATTAACATATATGTGTAAGAAATGGTAAAATGACAAATTAAGGTAATTGTTATGACATTTACAACCAATATGTTGATTCCCTTATTTCCAAATGATCCTGAAAGGAGCAAGTAGTAGCATGATAATTATCCAGCATATCAAAGACAGTTATAGCATATGGAATGATTGTTTTGTGATATGGGCTAGGTTTACACCACAGGGTGTAGGAGTTCCCCATGGGCATGTGCGTTGTGAAGATTTTTATTGTACATCTAACGTTACGTTCTGAAGATAGTGTGACAGCAACTGAAGAAAATGAGTAATTCCCATTTTACAGAAAGAGAAGTGGAACAGAGACACATAGAAGACGGAGGAGATGTGAAAGCTGAAATAAGAATCCAAGAATCCCTAACTACATCACGTGGTTTTGCTCATGGTTTATAATAGCATTTGTGCTGTGTAATTTACACAGATAAGGGCATCTCAAGATTATTGCTAACACCACCACCTTGTTTTAGCTAAAACGTGCAACACTCAATAAAGGGTCTCATTGCTTTTGGGAACCCAGTAAGTGGGATGGGGGAGACAGCACCTCAGATCCTATGAAACACATTTACTTAGTGATCACTTTGGAGCCATATAGACGCTGTTCTATATCCTGATGTATCTTCATCTCTTTCACAGGGTTTGATCCCGTTAGATCCATCAGCTCAAATTTCTGCTCCGAACACACTGAAATGTTTGGTTAAGCTGACAAATTTGTGTGGTAAATACAAATGGCTGGCAGGAAGCTTTCTGTCTGCTTCAGTCAACGCTCTGAAGTAGATCCAGCCAGAACCATTTGTTCAGGAAGCTTTGAAAGTCAGTGATACAAATGGCAAGCTGTATGTTCTGTCTTCCGTGCTGTATCTGAATGGCCCGGTGGGTATAGGCAGGCCACTGCTCTGGGGGGTTGGGGGGGGGCGGTCCAAAGGACTCGCTGGCAAACAGAACTGGCAGATGCAGAGGGAACTTGGCAGGAACCACTCAATGACTCAATGCATTGTGTGTGAGTTGGGGCCACATCAGAGGGACAGCAAGCCCTGAGGAGGCAGCCAGTCCATGCTGTGCATCCATGTCCTATGTTAGGCACCACTCTAACACCTGCTGTGGCAACTAGAGGGGTGGAGGTGTGTGGAGACATGGCTTTAAGTCTTGTGACCTGAGAATGGATGTCCATAATGACTTTAAAATACTTCCCTAACTCACCCATCTGCTTATTTATTAACCTACTTATAACTTAACAAATGTTTCAAATCTGCTTTGAAAGCAATGTTGGATACTGTTGGGGGATGTTGAGCCAGAGATACATTTAGCACCGGAAATGGATAAAATCCCATGGAGGAGAATGGTGTAAGAAACCTAGGAAAGGTACAAATACAATTCTATGGGATTTTAAATAAGTGAGAAATTACTCGGGTTGGTTAAGAGTGACTGTTAGTATATAAATGGGTAAATTGTTTCTGTTTATGAGAACGAAACTAAGTTCAGCAAAGACTAAGGCTAGGCAGAGTAAAAGGGGTATTTGAGCTGAGGACAAGTTTTATACAATAAATGCAAGCGCCTTAAAATTTTGTATGGCCTGTTGACTTCACCAATTAGTTTCACAGACCCTATTTTATTTTATGGAATCATCACAACAGTCCTAGTGTATAAGTAGGGAAAATTATTGATCGATTTTACAAAGGGAAAATAAGTTTCCTGTGATATCTAATGACTGTCTTATGGACATGCTAGAAAAATCATACTTTGAACTAGGGTCTCTTTCTCTGACCACCCACATGTTTTTTTTTTGTTTGTTTGTTTTTTGTTTTTGTTTTTTTGATCATTAGTTTCTAGTACAAATGGTTAAAGATGTGAGAGACTCTTAAAGGTTTTTGGCCTTAGCAAATGGAAATAGGATTTTATTAGAGAAAACAAATTTAATTTAGTTTTATACATTGCTGAACTTTTTTAATTTTGTTTTTGTTTTTTTGTGTTGTTTTTTTTTAGTAATTATATTCTCCTTTTTATTAAAATAATTGAGAGGAAATATCCAGAAAAAGAAAACATAGGAAAGTAAGAGCACAATTTAAGATGCAGAAAAAGGGAAAGGATATATCCCATCTGGAATATAAAAAGGCTGCATTACATGAACAGGAAGGTATGTCACCTTCAGGGAGAAATGGGCTGAATAGCTTCATCGTAATATATAGATTTGATCCATTTCTGGGGTGGATAACCTTCAATGCAGGATCAAATAAACTTCTCTCAAATTATGTTCATCTGCATCTACAGTCCAAATAAACATGCATATCCCCATGGGAAATTTATCCCATGTCATGTGCATTAGATGGGCATACTTGAAAAATACATTGAAAATTTCTATACTTGAATATCTTTTCTTTATCACGAGACTAAGCACATGTGCCTATCTGTCATACTATTAGTAATAACAATAAATTGTAATGATAATTTGCAATTTAAGTGACAATGATGTTACATTGAACATAATATAGTATATGCTATTATATTGAACATAACATAATATAGAGATGTAAGTACATATTTGGAGAACCTATGCATATTTCTAAGTATAGATTTATGTAGCTATTTTATCAATTTAGTTAATTGCCTGTAAAATTTAATAGTGTTTCTATCTTCTGAGTTACTACAAAAATTAAAACCATAAAACAAATCTATGCAATAGAATATATAAACAAAGAAAAAAGCCAAAATGGTATTCAAATTTAAAAGAGGTATAAAATAAGACAGAGAAAATAATTAGAACAATAATAATAATTTGAATGCTTACTCTGTGCCAGGCATTATACAATACAAGTATTTTAAATTCACTATCTAATCTAAATCTTCATATAACTTTGTAATATAGCTGGATAGCAATGCCATTATTCAAACCCAAATACTGCATTTCAAATATCTAATGACAGTAACAAATTATGTGTGACAATAAATATAAATAAGTGAAACACTCTTTGGAAAAGGCAAGCATTTCAAATTGGTTAGAAATGAAAAACTTGTGAGGCACTTATGTGCTATTAAAAGACACATCTAAAAAATCTTTAGATACTAAACAAAATAGTATTAAAAATGTGAAACAAAAAAAGCATTACACATAAAATATAATTATAGAAATGCAGAATTAGAAACCTATTTAATTTTATGTGTATATAATAAACCTGAATATGAAAACCAGATTTTAAAAAGTCTATAGCCTAAACTTAGTTTGAATATAAAACAAAAGTTCTATATATTTATAGAATGAATTTAATAGAATATTAGTATTTTCACATTATTATGATTTTAAAAATGCCTATATTAAATCAACAGTCTACATGGCTAATAGTAAAATCCTAGAGGCAGTGAATGCTTTTTAAAAATCAGATAAATGAAAATTAAAAATAGAAAATAGTACAGTAAAATGTTAATAGTAGATACCTTGGGATAATGAAACTATGTTTCACTTATAATATTTTTAATCTACTAGTCTGTATTCTCAAATGTACTTCTAATTAATGCATACATATTTTTATGATAAAATATTTTATTTTAAAAGAAAATAAATATAAATTCATAGATGTCTATGCATATGTATGTGTACATTAGTGTATGTTTGTGCACACCTTTATTGCTATATCAATCTTCAGTTCCTGGATTTCATTTTTATGAAGATAATATTTTGGATTTCCCAAAAATAGTGTCTTTTTTAAACATTAAGAAAATGTCCAGAATAACGTAGGTTTCCCTTTTATAAAGCATTTTGAGTCTCATTTTCCATAAATAAATAGTTATTTTTGTTCCTCATCATCTTTTTAGTTTATAAACTCTTTAATGGGGAACAACATCAATGAATGTACCAACAGGTATACAGGATGGGAGCAAAAGAATTATAGTTATTTGTATGGAAAATAGCACAATAATAAGAATAAATTATGTGTTTCTCCTATTCACAACTGTATGAAGAAGTCCTACACTTTCTTTTTTATTATCATAAAATTACCTTCAAGCTTCAAGAGAGTTCTTCTAGGTAAAGTATTCCTGAATTTGTTGAGCATGTCCATGTTCTATTACCTAATATCTTCATGGACATAAATTTGATGTCCCTTTTCACCCATCATTTTCTGAACTAAAAATTCCTCATCTGGTCTTACTATTTAATTCCTTTGATCGTTTCTATTAATCTTTCAGGCTTCTCTAACTGTCGTATAGCCTTATTAGAATGCACTGAATAGAACTATGTGCAAAATATTAGTTCTGTTGAAAAATTTGACACAATTATATATTACTCTTTTTTTTCAATTTTATTATAGCTATCTCTGGCATTTGGTGAACCTTTGAACTGCCACTCTACACTGGACTGTCTTCAAGGGACAGTTGACATAGATTCTGATATCATTTTTCTACACATAGTAGTAGCAGAGAGAATAATTTATTTTATTAGGATAGCTTGAATTATACTTCCCCAGGTACATTATCTTATACTTTCCACAGCTGAAATATTTTCACTATTATTTTGCCTATTCACACAGCACTACAAAGTGTTCTCGCAGGATCAATCCAACGGAACAGCATCTGAGTCCTCTGCAAACTTTCAGGCCTGCGTGCAGCCATAAAGGCACACCTGCCTCCACACACCCACATTCTTCTAGGCTATATAACTGGGACCTGGGGAAGCATTTTTCACTCTAGTTTTGGCTTAGTCCAACCTCTTGTACTGATACTAATCCTGTGTATCAGACGGGGATTTCAAGAACTTGAGTACGTGCTACAGGTGAGAAGATCAAGTCCGCCTGATGCTGTCTAGTCTTACTCTGGCTCACTGCCCTGTTATCTACCTTGACTGTTTTTGCTTATGACCAATCCCCACCCTATATTCCAACTTTAGCCACAGGTCCACATCTTTGTACCCGGCTTGCTAACCTGACTTTTGTTTGTGTGGCTTGATTTTTTGAACATGAATGTCTTGCCTTACTCTTGTGAATTTCCTGTTTCCTTGGCTAACTGCCAGAACTTCCTTTTCCTAATGCAGATGGTTAAAAATCATTTTGAAGGCTTATTTAGTTTCCTGGCCCCAACCCTAGAGATTCTGACCAAGTAGAACAGAGCCAAATATCAACAGTACAATGATTGAAATTTCTTTTGAGAGCCAATTTTTTTTTTTTAAATTTAAACTTCTTCTAACACCACTTCTTCAAAATAGACTCACACAGGCCATGGAATTTTGTGGAAGAGCCACACTCAAGGGGCCAAAGAGCCACATGTGGCTTGCGAGCTGTAGTTTGCCAACCACTGCAGTAGGTCAATGTTGCTGCATTTGTAACAGGCTCACAAGTAATGTCCATGTTGCTGGCCTGGAGACCACGCTTTGAGAATTACTCAGCCTCTAGGATTTCCATCTGTTTGTCACTTGCTGAAAGCTATCCCTTGTTGGTCCTCTTTTCTGACTAGTTCATTTGTGTCATCTTGATGAGATTTCTTACATCTACAGGCCCTATTCCCTCCTCTGACGTCTGTGTGAGAACGGCAAACCAATTCTAGTTCTACTTCCTGAAATCATGATGACGATTATAATGAAGATGACAATTATAACAGTAGTAATGTCAATGAGCCTCAATTTCCTTATTTTTAAAATGGAGATGAAAACAGACCTCCCTTACAGATTTTTTAAGTTAGCAAATAAGCACATGACTTTG